GAGAGAGAGAGAGAGAGAGAGAGAGAGAGAGAGAGAGAGAGAGATATTACATATGTCATTTACTTTACTTTATAATTCCTGAACTTGATTGTTTTCAAAATAATAAAAAAATGTGCTTCTGCAGATTCAACTCGACATGGTACAACGCAGTTGTTTCAGAGCAGAAGGCATTGTTAATGATAATGATGCGACGCTATCATCCGTTTATCTTGACCGCCTGTAAACTTTATGTGATGTCTTTGCAGAATTTCGGAATGGTAAGAAAAAAGTACGCCGTATTCGGCACGAATCATAACAAACAACAAATAAAGAATGTATGTATCTTTCGAAGACACTTCAAACAGCGATCTCCTATTGCATGGTCATCAGACAAATCTGAAAATGTATTTGTCAAGTTGTAAGCGTAGAAGTAGCGTAGAAAACATTCGTGGGAATATTTAAACATGTACCAATCTTTTTGTTACGATTATATCGAAAATTCTTCTTTGAAAACACAGGAATCTGTCGGTGCAGTAAATTACAGGTAAGTAAATACGCAGAATAAATGTGATACAATCAATAAAGTAAAGCAAAACATGTGCCAAAACTTTTATAATAACAGAATATTTCGTAAAGTATTCAAGACAGTATTACAATTTTTTAAATGACTTTTATTTCAGTGAGAAATTCGCTGATGATTTTATACTTGATTTGTCTTACATAAGACATTCAGTTGTTTATATTTTATCTAAAAATAAATATCTGTATGATAATAATAAGTATTTACTTCTCCATATCTATCTATAGCGTTGCACAGAAATACCACGTTTAAAATACTTGTAATAAAATATTTAAAACGTTGCCGTTAAAATTAAGAAATATTTCTCACATATTTTCTATAAGAAAAAAATATCTCAACGATTTGGTCGTCGTTTGTTATGCACTGTGTAAGAGAGACGCGAATATTTTATTTTACCTTAGACTTGCTTTACTCATCGTTCGCTCCCTTTGCCTGTGAATAATCGAAAAATATTCGCGATGTCGCAGCGTAATAATCGAGCATGTGAGAAAAATTAACACGGTGGATAGAAAACTGCCTGACGACAATTTTTGTTGGCGAATCATCACCGGATGTTTCCCACGTTATTATCCGAACATTGTACGCGCGCTGCCGATCGATCCCCTCGGCGCCGCGGCGCTGCTGAAAAATTCGCACCCCTACGCTAAACGCATGCAATTTTCTTCAATGTTTCGATGAATTTAACCTATAATAAAGATAATAGATAAAGAAATAATAAATAAAAAAAAGTTCCGAGTGAACATAACGAAAAAAAATTTGAGATTATAGCAGTGTAAATAATAATCGCTGAACTCTTGCTTCTACGGTCAGTCTGTTGGCAACTTTTGAAGCAAATGGAACATTCCGAGGAGCATTACTACAAATTGAATCGATTTCTTCTGTCGCTTATCGGACTATCTCCTTATCAAAGCAAACGGAGAGCTCATTTAATAAGAGCTGTTTTAACGGTCACCATACTAATAAGTATAGGTTCTCTGGTACTTACGGTTTAAAAAAATAATTTTTTTTTCAATTTAATGTTAGATATTTTTTGAACTAGAGGATTGGAAATAACATTCTCACGCGGTATCAGAATAAAAATAGAATATAAACTCAGAAACCAAATATCACTGTTTTATCAAAATTATAACGAAGATTCTTCACGAGAAATTCAATCGAACGTGTCTCGGATAATTATTTCTCGATGAAATTATTTCTTTTCGTTCTTATTAAGAGTTAATAACATCTTACTAGATTAATAGCATACTGATTACATCTGACGTCACTATGGACTATATGGTGGATTGGTTGTCGGCGGTTCTAATTGTATCGGGTAGCCTGAGCAACTTGTACACACGTATCATACACGTGGACAAAGTAAGCTGCATATAGATTCTCTAACAATTTGTGTTTCTCATAACTTAAATTTAATAGAATGTATCATTTGTCTCTATATAATATATAAAAACCTAAGTTAGCACTCATTTTTAGATAGATAGATAACCCATTTTTATAAATAGACAAAATTACCATTGTATATACAAATTTCATTCTGTTTTACTCTCTGGAACGTTATTGAGCCTAATTAAGACACTGTGATTTGCAATTACCTTTCTTATTACACATCGCCATAGATAATTTATGAGCAATAAGAGATAAAAGTAAAACGAAGTGAACGTAACAAAAGAAAATTTATATCACAGTCAAAATATGCAACATTACTTTCGTAAATCTTTTAGAATTAGAATTACGTATTACAATTATGTTAACGTATCAATGTAACTTAATGTATAAATGTCTATCGATTCTTTTACTATTTTGAAATACATGATCATTTATTTATCGCTCTACTTTCTTTTAGTTTAGAGAATTATTCGAGCGTATGTCGAAAGACTGGGCGTTGCAAAAGACACACGATGAGACCAAGATTATGCACGAGCATGCTAAGACCTCAAGATTATTCACTCTCTGTTATCTAAGTAAGAGAAACGTTAAACCTGTCTTTGTTTACAGAAGAAAAGGACAGGCGCTTTTGCCTGCGAGTTCAAAATTATATTTCTGTGTATATATATAAGACTGAGACACAACACAATAGTGATTTGTATTATAAGCATCCAACATATTTATCGTACACA